CGCACACAGACACTGCACCCTGGAGCAATTTCCTCCAGTTCAAACTGCTCTGGAGTTTATTGCATCACATTAATTGTAAGTGTAGATGCACCCTGTAAAAACAGTCTTACACCCTCTCCCATGAGAGATGATACATTCAGACATTTAATTCAGTGGAACACAACATATTTAATATGTTGTTTCCCCACCCCTAGCCTTCTCTGCAGTCTTGCTTCACTAAACAAGCATTGGATCCCTTCCTTGGACGCCAGCTACTTTTATTGGTAGAAAAGCTTGAAACATTCTTTAAAAACCTCCTAAGCTGACCAAAGCTACGAAATCTACACAACTGCTTCTCCGGGGTCAGGAAAACTGCACTGCAGTACAGAGTTCAGACACTCTGATAAACAGGTATGTTCTTTCATTCCAACATCCTGTCAAACCAGCTTTCAGGCCAAACTGGGGAACAGTGTTTAAAGGCATTCTGATCATACAGCAATGTGGCCCATTACAAGTACCTAGTGCAGATAGACTGATCTAGCCAATTCATTTCAACACTGGCTAGGACACTATTTGTAAACAGTTTGATCCTAGACACATTGGAAATGGCTCATTCAGCAGTGTCTCCTCGTAGCTGAAGCTCCATAGAAGACAAGATCAGGCACCTTATACTTTCTGTAGTAACTCCCATGTATGCTTTCTACTGTCAGTTTGCCAACAGCATTAACAGTGCTACTGAAAGCAGTGGGACACAGATGCCGAACTCCTACATGCCAAGATTATACCAGAAAGAATTGTACAACTGTACTAGGATTGTACACTTGCAGTTTTGGCCTGAGAAGATAAACTTGGCAAAATGGTCATATGATGGAAAACAAGCAAAGTGAAGAGCAAGCACGGAGGAAAGAAAAGCAAGAGAGTAAGGGAAAAGTTATGAGGAAGTGGGGAAAACAGACTCTCACATCTTGCCATCTTAAAAGGATTTGCAAAGAACATGCAGTGAAAACAGCCTGCACAACCTGCCAGAGATGCCTGCCGAGCAGTACTGCATTTTTCACAACACAGCCTCCCCCAGGAATGCACTTACAAAGCTGGCCTTTCACAAGCTTCTCTTTGAAATCAGCATATTTCTGGCCTTTAAGACACTAGGAATCAGTAAAAGTTTGCCTTCACACGTAGGCAGCAAGACTAGACTGTTTCTGTTATCTCAGCCGTGGAAAAAGCATTAGAGAATATGAGCATGAGAGAGCTATATGCATTTTTTTTTTAATGTGGAGGATGCTCACAACTGCTAACCTGGCTGTCTAAAGATGACAAGCAAAAGAATAACAGGAAGGACTGGCAAGTCAAAACGACCACTCCTGTTCAGTGGGAAAGTGTCAGATCTAAGTTGACAAGGGGGAGTTCACTTGTGAAACAACAAAAGCTTGATTTGCTAAGAGGGTGGTAATAAGAAACATCAAGAGTCAGTCCCATGGGAGTGGGAGATAATGGGTTTAAACGTACCATGTATCAGTACAAAACATTAACTTAGGAATACCCAGACTTTTCTTCAGCACAGAACTGTGTTAGTAGATGGCTGGGAGACAGATGTCCAGGGATCCTGGTTTTCTCTGCCAAAGCCTCTCACTCCCAACCCGCAGTCCTCTACCACTTCAGTTGGTGCCCCTCACTCCCAATGCACAGTCCCCTGGTCCTGCTGGTGCCCCTCACTCCTGCCCTGCAGCCCTCTCCCCTCCCCAGCCCTGTTGGCAGGGGACCCCAGCTGCGCCCGTCCCCCCCCACCAAAGTGGACACATAGGATGGTGGTCTGTGTGGACACAGGAGGGACAGGCTCCAGCATGAACTACAGACAGCAGCTGGGGCACCACACACTGCCCTGTGCCTTCGGCTGGGGCATGGCGGAGAGAATCAGTGGCGCACGCCACAGCAACAGCATTAAGCAGAGCGCAGCTCTGGCCCAGGCCATGCTGCGGGCAGCAGGAGTGGGGTAAGGGGCTCCAGGTGCTCTCCACCCTGCCTGGGCTGAAGCGCAGCAGCTATGGCTCCTGTGGGCAGTTGTGGAGCTAAATGGGCCCCGGTACAGGCTGGAAGGAGGAGGAGGGGATGCCTGTGGCACCTGCCCTGGGCTGGAGCTCCCATGCCAAGCCAGGCAGCCTGGCCACGAGCCCCCCCGCCTCAGGCAGAATGTCCCGGCCACCCCATCTCTACCCCTGCCCCTCAGAGCACGGGCCATGGTGCCATTGCCCTTGAAGGATCCCTCCCCACCTTCCCCCACTGGCCTCAGATCCCCTGCCCCACCACAGCCTGTGCCCAGACTCCTTCCACCAGTACTGGCAGGCTCCCCCCCTCCACACATCCTTGCCACACACACATGCCCTCCCCTTCCCTACCATGGACCCCACCAGAGTCCCCAAGCCCTGGCCCTCTAACCCCCTCCCCACCTCACCTATATCCAGCTGCTGGGGCTGCTCCCATCACCATGCTTGGCTGTATGCCAGCACATGTGTGCGCATGCACACACACATGCACATAGCAGCCCCTGCCTCCAATCACCCTCCCCCCAGGCCCAAGCAGGTCCTTGCAGGCTGGAACACTGCCAGGCTACAAGGGGAAACCTGTGGTTTCTTGTGTTTTTCCCCAGCGAACGGAAAACCCAGATCCTTGCTGATGTTTACACTGGAATTTGGATCTAGTGGCGCTGGCCTCGGCCACCACACCTCAAACAAGGAGGTGCAATCAGAACGTAACCTAATACAACATATTGACCCAACTGGCCTGTGTGCAGATAAAGAAATAGGACATGTCGAGATATGTAGATCCTATCAGCTGTAACTGGGACACCCCTAATGTAACTTTCCCTTTCCAGCTCCTGCAGCTCCAGGAAGTAATTTTCCAATATAGAGCTTTTAATAGCAAATGTACTTAGCATCAACAAATCCCAGCTACTGGCAACATGCCTGGAATTTAAATTATGTTTTGGATAGACACAATCCCAGTATCTGTAAGAAAGAAACAGTCTCTGCTTCTATATTTTCCATAATTAGCAGGTACTTCCCATGCTCTGCACTGAGAGTTCTATAGCTATACACAGTGCTGAAGTCTGCCAGAGCTGCATTACAGATAGATACTTACTTTATTTGTACTCGTAGTGAATCCTTCCTTTTAGGGTTGCCCAATTCCTGCTCCATGTCATTACTAACTTAGTGCAAGAGAATGACAGTACTTCATCTAACCCTTTCCGGAGCAAGCAAAAAGCACCTCTAGTTTGCTGATCACTACTCTGCTAGCTTTAATTTTCAAGAACTCCATCTGCCAGAGTTTTTTCTACTTCTAAATAAGTGTCAACATTTTTTTTGTCAAAAAACTTTCCACAAAGAACAACCTAACTTAAGTGTAAAGAATTCTTGGTCAACTCCCAGTAGGATTATCGTATTAGATGTTAGTATGAGGTAATGTGTTACTTGCACACTTGAGTTTTGTTTGGAGTTTGTCTTTGGACATGATCAAAGACTGATCATGCCAGTTGGCAAGTAGGCCCTTCACACCTCAAGCCCAATCAGGAATAAAACTTTCTGCCATACTTGACCTGGCTCAGATCAGCTGTCCATCCCTAACAACATGTGAATACCACATAAAAGCAGCAGCCAATTTGGATTATCTAATCACACATAGACCTTCCTCTCCACTAACCTGTTTTAGCAGCTCTCCTTCCTTACCACTAGACCGTTTGACTCAGAGAGCAATATTCTTAACCTGGTTTTATTTCACTTCAGTTTAAGCAACCACAGGCAAAAGTACTGCAGTCTCCAACTTTGCAAAGAACTTTCCCTGGGTTGAGAGAGGGTAGTGGGAAATCCCCTCCCCTACTCTCCCTAACATCTTGCCTGAGGGTCCACTACTTGACCAATCACAGACACAAGTCTATTTGCATTAGCTTCCTATGGCCTTAAGTGTATGGCTCTGCTGGTGTAAAAACCTACAAGCCCCAGTGATCATCTTCCAAGGAATCCTGACCCAAAGTCCGCCCTGCTGTTGGATTACTGACATGCTACCTTTGGAAGACTAAGCAGTAGGGTTGTATAGGGTGGCCCACAATATCCAGGAATTGATATTTTCCCTTGACTTAGTCCAGGCAGTTGGACAGTTCTGTGCAGTTGGCCATATTCAAGATCTCATGTTAGCAAGGTTGCCCCGGCCTGAATTACTTAATGGAATTGTTTTTGTATCACTGCAAGAGCTAGGCCATAGGGGATGGGGGAGCAGGGAGGAGGGTAGGAGTGGGGGTGCAGCCACTCCTGCAGTGCTAGTCTTTTGGCTCCCCCTTTGCAAAAACCTGGATCTGCTTCTGGCTGTGAGGCCAAAATATCATCTTTGCACTCCAAAGCTAAGGAACACCCCCTGAACTCAGATGGCACATACTTTCTCAGGGTGCCCTTTACTCCACTTGCAATTCATCCAGATGATGACAGCACTTCCTCTGCAAATTAGATTATGACATCTCAAGGCTGGTCTTGAGCATTTTCAATGACAACAGATGCAAAATCTCAGAGTTTTTGGCCAATTTTGGTTGTGATGTTGAAATTCTTCTACATACTTAAGGTCCCCTATGTATATTTTAATTGAAGATGACAAGGGGAATAGCTGCATTCTGTTACTAGTCAGCACTATCAATGCTTCCATTAGAGAAGAGAAGGTGCTGACCTTCTTTGAACACCAAGTGGGTCTGTGGTCTCCTCAAGAGGCCATCTCCTTGACTCTGAAAAGTCAAACTCCCCATATTTGGGAAAAAGCTCAGAAGACAAAAACTACTGAAGTGCTGGACAAGTTCTATTCTTCCTTCAGGATGTCAGACATGCAAATGGTCCCCTACTAGACTGCTATTTTGGCCATGTTGAACTTCAATAGCTTTAAGTTTAAGGAACTTTTGGGGAGGGGTGGGATGGGGAGTGTGTGGGAAGGAGCTTCTTTGGTAATTAAAGGACGCTGCTAGTATGACCAGAATTGTCTGGAGGACTTACCTACAAGAGACAGAACAAGTTGATGATGGAGATGTGTGTCTCAACCAGTAGCGCTCTAGGATTCTCAGGAACTGATCCCTTTGCCTATGTCCTGTAACATATATAGACTAATCAAAAAACATTTCTGCCAAGACATGTGGGATATTATTTATATGCCCCCCCATGACATTTGCTCTTGCCTCGAGGATCCTTCAAATTCAGTCTGATTTGGAAGAATGACACTAAAAAATCCCCTAGCCATATAACCCCAGCTGTGAAATAGTTTGACTGTTGGTTAGAGGTTGCCTGTATACAAAAAAAATTCATTCCTTCACATGGCCACTCCATGAGGTAGCATGGAGGTCAAGGGTTAAGAACTGACCAGAGGAAAGTTACATTTCACAAGATGTTTTAAAGTTTTAGAAGTTGTTTCTAGGGGTGCACTGATGTACTGGTTGGCTATTGGATCAGCACTTGTAAAAGGAGAAATGTCGTTATTGGCTAATCGGCTTTTTTTGGTCATTACAGCTGATAATTATAGCCATGTGCCTGGAGCACTCTGGTAAGCGTAGTCTGGTCCTCGTGCCCCAGCACTGGTTGGCACCCGCAGCAGACTACAGGTCCTGGCAAGCAGTGGGATGGGAAAGGGGGTACCAGGGAATGGTCACGGGGCACTGTGCTCAGCAATAAACGGACCGTTACTGGCTCCTGCTGCTGCTGCCATGGCAGTGCCAGGTGCACAGCAGAGGCCTGAGAACCAGGGCTGCCATGGAGACATTGGGCTGCACGTGGATGGGGTAAGGTGCTGTGCGAGGGCCATTCTGCTCTAGCAGGCACCGGGAGCCTTTGCAAAAGTGGCTTGTCCCTGGTGGCCGCAGGAGCTTGGCTGTGCAGGGCCCCCCGGTGCTGAGGCAGCGGTGTGCTCTGGGGCCAAACACGCCTGGCACCACTGTCCATGCAAGAGTCCACCCTGCCCACCTGGGACAGCAGCTCAGGCAGCACAGGGAGTGGGGCTGCAGGTAGGAGCTGTGGGTGAGGGGAAGACTTATGTGGGAATAAGGTGGTCACCACCTTCACCATCAAGGGCCAGAGCAGACAGGAGAATGGTGCATGGGTGGCTGTGTTTAGAAATGCAAAACAAACAAAAAAAGGTTTGTGTCAGTAGTCTAAAATGCCTTGCACTATTACTAAATAGTAATATTCGCAAGGTGTTCACTGCTTATTATGCAACTGCTAGCCCCACCACACCCGTCACATAACAGCAGTAATTGTCCATATCAGCAAGTTAAACATTAAAGACTGGTTGGTATATTCTACTGCCAGATACTGCCCTAAGTCTGAGAAGAAATATTCACATTGCTATATGGGATACAAATACCTTCCTCGATGGCCCTAGGCACTGCTCTTTCAACTATAATCACATTTATTTAAGAAATGTCTGTCCTCTTCCCACGCTGTCTTATTCCTCATGTTTCTCAAAATCAGGACTTTCCAATCAGACTGACTATTGGAATGGAGTTAGATCATGGCTTTTACCTATGCCTTGCTCCTTAGTGTGTGGAAAGTGTGAGAAATGGCATTGACAACATTAGTCTGCTCTTATGCCAGTGCATAACACTTGCAAAGCTTTCAGTTTATTTCACTAGAAATTCTACAGAAGCCTTTGCCATGCTCATTCCTACATTCAGTCCTGGGACGGAAAAGATGCCAAAAATCTAGAGCAAATGTGGCTTGTCATCTTTGTAATCTGATGTTGTACAAGATTAATTTATGCATAAGTAGTTAGGTACATTGCTAATATGTTAAATTAATCTTTAAGACATGACACTACAGCATGAGCTAAAATACAGATACAGGCAACCCCCGCTTAGTACTCTTAATTGGTTCCTGAAAAACTGAGTGTTAAGCGAAACAAGCATTAAGTGAAACCGAAAGCATTTGGCAACCCAAGATGGCAACCGCACGCCTTTTTAATGACCCAAGATGGCGACTGCGAGCATTACAGTGGAACTTGCTGAGCGCTAAGTCAAATCGGGTATTAATTTGAAATGAGCCTTATTGTGAAATAGCGCTAAGCGAAACAGCCTTAAGCAGGGGTTGCCTGTATTAGTCAAATTCTTAGTATGACTGTTCAATTTATTTTAGATTGTTAATTGTAACTGTACGTCCAATTAATGCTAAAGCCTGAGCAGAAGCGATTTCATCCTATCACGTAGGAAGGCCAAGTCTTACAGACCTGATCTCAGTTTACCAGCATCACATCTAAATTAACATGGCACCAAGCCAAAACCTAAATCCTCATGGTACAATCTGTTTGACTGACTCATACATCTTACTGCTATCCCATTTCCTAGAAAACAGATCTATTTCTGCCCACTCCTACACCTCCCCCCCATTTCCAAGCATATGTAAAACAATTAAGTAATAGCTAATGTCTTGTTTGCGTGCCTACTTCCAATATCCCTTGCTCAATGTAATGACTTCCAGTTAATAATTTAAGTTATTGTGGATAAGCCTATGCCAGTTTAAGCAAGGTTTAAAAAACAGGATTTATCAGGCAAGGATCATTCCTGAATTGACAACGTATTCAGAACTATTGATGGAAGCAGGCAACAAGCCAACAAATCATCAAATTATTTACCACAGCTCCTGCCCCAACTCTCTCTGGTTTCCAAAGGCAATGGCACATAATCAACAAGCTGCAGTTTCATGGGGGTTTCCAACGTATTCTATGGAAGCCAGGTACTGTATCCTTCCGAAGGGAACACAGGCAACATGGTGGCTTGTGGGAGGTGGCGTATTTGCAGTGCCACTGAGCTCTCTCCAGCCATTTAAGGGACTGGCAACACCAGTTTACTGAACAGAGATGAACTTTAAATAAAGGTGGAGCAGAAGCATCACTGAACAGAGATGGACACTTTCATGGCCTTGTCTTGAGAAGAGATTGGCACCATTCCTCATCCAGGCTGCACCCATAACACTCAGTGTAAGAGCCGAGCCACCTTCACCCACATCCTGCCCGGCCCGCTCCAAGCAGGCACACAAACGCCTCTCCAGGCTTCTTCCTATGTTGCAGAGCGACCCCAGGAGCGCCGGGAGCTGCGCCGGGCTCCGATGTGAAAGGCAGATGGAGCGAGCGCTCAGCCCGCCCCCGGGACGCGGCCGCTCGGGGGAAGGAGGCGCCCCCCAGCGGGAACCGGCAGCCTGCAGGGGGCGCAGGCGAGCAGGCCCCCTCCCGCCCCGAGCACCGCAGCAGTCGGACTCTCCGGGGGGCGCGAGCAAGAAGCTCTCGGCGCGGCCGCTGCTAACGTGCCTACCTCCCGGCAGCGCCGAGCGCCCGCAGAACAGACCCCAGCGGAACCGAACCGGCCCGGCCCGCCCAGCACACCCCGGCGGCTCCGCCCGGGTCCCCCGCGCCTCGCCGCTACCTACTCGCCGGCCCCACTGCTCCCGCTCGCTCTCTGCACACCTGCCGCGCCTGCTGCTACTGCTGCTGCTGCGGGGAGTGACGTAACAGAGGGAAGGAGTCACCTGACTCCCTGGTGACGGAGGCGGGGCCGTGCGTCACAAAGGAGCCGGAGCCGGGGGGCAGGGTTCCGTGTGCGGGGGGGGGGGGGGGTGGCGCCGGGTAGGT